CCAGCCCCAGTACACAGTCAAGATTGGACTAGCATGGATGACGCAATGGATGGGAAGTCGAAATAATTGGAATTTGGCATCAGACTGAGTTGAATATACACAGAGATTTGTGCCAAAATCCAATCCTGATATCAGAATTTCTGGACTGGTGGACAGCATGGACTACAAGGGTTCTCAGCTTACTATCCATTTGATGCTAAGCAAGCAAAGTTCAAAACAGTGTCTTCCCTAACAACTGTGTTTGACAAGAACATCCCAAGGCCTGTGAGTATCACCACACCTCATCCAAAGAAGAAGTTTCTGCCCCACGATCGCCCAATTGGATATGTGGACCTGGTACACACAAACAATTGGTGGCATTGCTGCGCTTAATTGTCTTATGGGGGACATACAATAGCTGTTCACTGTTCCAGGTGCAGTGTGATATCCATTTGCAACTAACAATGATATCACAAATACGACAACACGGCAAACCATCCAACTGCAGGTGTGCCTGGCAAACAATGGGAGTTTTACCTGATGAGACACTCCAATCGCCTGCAGTGCCATCAGATGGTTGCCCTTTGATGAGTGCCGCGAATGACAATATGGTCACCACGCCCAATGCAAGAGCTCGTAGCAAAGGCTTTAACCTGTCAGCCATCCTTTTCCTCTTGGTGGTGGGGGGTGGGGGGTTGGGGGGGTGGGGGTTGGGGGTTGGGGTGGGGTTGGGGGTTGGGGTTGGGGGGTTGGGGGGTGGGGTTTGGGGGGGGGGGGGGGAGGGGGGGGAGGCCTGCAGCACAATTGCAGCGTCGGTACTTGGGGACGATTCAAAGGGGAAGTGAGGGCCGTGCTCCCCAAAAGCAACACACTTCCACATCGAGTGTTTGAAGCATTGAATCCATTGCAGTGTCTTAACAACTGACACACACTGGATCAACATGTGCCCCTACTGCATTCAGATCATCCAACAGCATCAGGGTGAAGTTTCCTAGCCTTGTACAAGGATATATCGCAGTGCTCTTCGGACCCCCCCTCCCCAAACTTGAGACGTTAAAAGTGCACACAATGAACATTCCCTCGTCAGGTGTCCTCACACTGCACCTGCAGTCAAACAGGGCCTTTGAAAGCTCCGCACACGCTTTCCACATGCACTTAGTCTGTTATTATGGTAGCAAGCGAAGGAACAGGATCCTGGAAGCCATTACCTGAAGGTCTGCTCGGGTGTCACAGTCAGGGCTTGAGGAGCCGCTTGGCCGTCACGATTGAGGACGGGCGCGCTCTCCAGCGCCGATCCCTCGTCTCGGCGCTTCAGCGCTCGCCAGGTTAGTGCATTCCCTGCACAGGCGGGTGTGCAAACGCTTTCAGCAAATTTGTCCAACATACACAAAACACTGCTGCTGCACCCGCGAGGCGACTTCACGCATGTCTCCTCTTAAAGACCGTCCGAAATACGATTGCGACAAAAAACCAGGCATACAATGTCCAGGAGTCCCAAAGGCGGCCGTGAGCGCACTGATATCAGCGCAGTATTCGGCGTGGCGCCACTGCGAAGGTACTACTTGCTGGGTCACGGCCAGCTGGTCATGAGGGTGCCTCTTTGCGCCGAGTCGCCACAAGCGCTGGCCGAGCGCGGCGAGCGCGCGGGGTGCTCCTGAGCAGACAGGGGATGACTCCGTTCTCCTCAGCTGGGAACAGCGGCACACCGACCGCCGCGTCGTAGCCGCGGAGTGCTGGGTGCACCCTGCATCGCATGCACACGGAAACACGGGCTTGCTGGCACCAGAGAGCAGAGAAGGGCCCGGAAGGGCGCCAGGGAGCGTTGCACAACGAGCGAGTGCACTCACCTCGGCGACAGGGGCCTCCGCGGACCCTTTGGAAGCCGTTGAGGAGGGCTCTCAGAGGGGTTTTCAACACCACACCACCTGAACACCAACTTCCGCATCATCCATAATGGAAAATTTAATGTGTCAATGGCATCATGGGCATTGTGGACCCTCATGTCGCCCGTTCTCGCCAAATATGCGTTCGTGTTTTGCTGCTGGAGGGCCGTGTGGCGCGTTTAAATGAGGAACAGAGATGCCACTGGCATTTGCAAGTGCATTTGTCTTCCTCTCCCACTTGGGAAGAGAGTGTACCATAGTATACTATGCCCTTCCTCATCAAAAATTTTACCTTCCCTCCACATTTTGTTCGGCATTTTTTTCAGAGCCTAGTTTTGTTCTTCTCCCGCTCCACATCACGTCCTGTGCGTTCGGGGTGGGCTATAGAACCTGCAAGGCCAGTTTCAGGTGCAGCTGACCAGTCACCGCCTCCTAAGTGCATGCACCATGCGACCCAAGCAGGATTTCCACAAATTGTTGAGCCACAGTACGTTCTGCGTTTCCTGGACGCTGGGGACGGCTTCGAAAACTCCAGCGACGCGCCAGCGCAAGCAGAGGCGCGGATTGGCGTTAAGTCTGGGGCACATTCGAAAGGGAGCTGCCGATTGAGGCGCAGCTGGACAGTTGGCGCTGCCCTTGCGCCCAGAGACGCACGCTCAGATGTTCTTCGTGACGTGCAGAACGCACAAAGCCATCAGTTTATGCTCGCACACCAGATCTGTTGTTGAGACTGCCGGCTGTATTTGTGTTCCAAAATGCACAGCTCTATTGCCATGACAACAGCGCTGTTGTCATTCGTTCAGGTCTCTCCCTGACGTAACAGCGCGGTAGCTACCCGCACAATCACACAGAAAAATTACAATATGTATATTTCTTAACGCATTCTACATTGCGAATTCACGTTGAGCAATTTGTACCTGTAAAGAAGAACCGATAGCTGCAACCCGCAGTCTGTGCCATACAAGCCTCACTATGGACAGAGAACTCTTGGACAACACAATTCCGTGGACCGGTGTATCCATATCATCATTTCCAGCCTACGATACGCCAATACTAAATGAAATCGCCAAGGCACTATGAAATTTATTGCTTGCCGTTGAAAGGAGATGCCCTCAGTGCCAACAAAATGAGGCAACCAGGTAATAGCTTACAAAGAATGGGCCATCTTGGGGATGGAGTAACGAGTCTACAGATCTAACGCTCTACAGACCTAAGGGCTGCGATGTCGTCAGAACAATTGTTGCAGCACGATAGCCGGGTTATTCAAAGCCGGTTGTCCATCGTTTCCGACATCCAATACTTTTCTCTTGACACCTGCTTGCATTATGCTGCATGGCACACACAAAGAAGCGAGATTGAAACCCACAGTCAAATTTTGCAAACATGCCCACTAAAATAGGCTAACTACTATTTACAATGTTGCTGTCAATCGATTGCCAATAATTCAATAATACAACGAAGTCTGCGGAGTTCTCAGTTGCCTGCATCAGACACTGTTGCGTGCAGTCCTCCTGAGGGACACAATCAAGCAAATGCTCCTATTTTCAGGCCATTCACTGAATTTGAACTTGCCCCTCTGCGAGTTAAACTGCTGCAGGTATTGGAGATTCTCATAATCGATGGCCACAAAGCAGATTTCGAATCATGGATACGAAAGTTGGCCAAGCTTTAATCCCATTCTGGATGTCCAATATGATATGGGCAGTGCATATCTTGCGCATGACCCCATTTTGTACACACACATCCAAGATATGTACAATTCATCTCGTGGACACACAAATTCGTGATATGGTGCCCAGGTTCAGGATACACGCAATTTATGGCAGGGAGAATTGCACTTAACAGACTTGTGATGTAAGAGCACACAGCTCACAGAAAACTATGAAACTCTTGCAAGTCTGCTGGCTGGCGCAAACTGTTTTGAAGGAAGCTGCAGAACTGGCACGTAGTACACATTATGTACACATTGTAACATTTGCAGAGAGCCCAAACCTGGGCATGAACATTGAGCTCTTTGCAGCTTGCAGTTCGCAGCGTGCACAGGGGAGGCAAAATATTGAAGTGATATAACCATAGCCACTAGGGATGGTACCCGGGTACAGGAAATCCGGGTACTCGGGACGGGTGTTGCTTTTCCCAGTACCCGCCTACCCTTGTACCCAGGTAGGCGGGTGCGGGTGTGTACCCGGGCACAGCACGTTTGACCAACGGTCGCCCGGCGCATAGCTTCACATAGCTTCGCACCGCACTAGCTTCTGGAGGTTCCCCGTCCACACTGTGTGTGGCTGCATCGCGATCATGCACGGTGCCGAGGCTCTCCACACACCCTTCTTTGGGCCGCGCGTTTGGAGGTCTGGGGGCGCTGGTGAGCCGGAATCGGGGAATCTGATGGGTTGGAACATCAACATGGTGTTGCTTGGTCGATCCTGTGGCGCAGGCGAGCCGGAATCGGGGAATCTGACGGGTTGGAACATCTTTACACAAACAGCTGTCTGCAGAAAATGCAGTTGGGCTCTAGCTGTGCTCGGGATGATCCCTAGGATAACGGCTGTGTTGCAGCCCTGGTGCCAGAGCTGCCCTTTGAGGATTGCAGGTTGTCCGTTCCAGTGGAAAACGGTTGGTGCGCGCAGGACATGCCCAGCAACTTGAACTAGATGGATCAGCGATTGCTTTTTGGCGTTGTTGTCGTTGATGTCTTACAGTTGTACAGTTGCGTTGTCGCTATTGTGGTTGTTGTTCTTTCTGGATCATCAACGCAATCGTTGACCACAGGGTGTGCAGCCCTTTTCGGATTGTGCCAGAAGAACGCACAATTCGTGGAAGACAGCGCCTGGCAAGGGGCGCCATCGCCATCACGGACTCCGTCAGATAGCAGCCAGCCAAGCGCGGTGGAGCGAGGCCAGCCAGCGCTGCGTCGGCACAGGGGAGCATCTTTCCGTACCCTGGTACATACCCTGCCCTGGGTACTGGTTGTACCTGGGTACACCCGGGTACCCGAGTTCCGGAAACTCCGGGTACCCGGGTCCGGTTTTGCCAGCCCAGGTACGATCCCTAATAGGTGCTCAACAAAATCAACAACTATGTAGGCACGCTGGCACAGATTGGCGGGCACACACCTCCGATCTGGCACGAGCTCCCTCACAAGGTGGAGACATTAGGGCTGCCTCTGTGTTGCTGGTGCAGTTGACGAAGCACCTAGAAAGGGGGAAAACCAAATAGGTTTTGAATTCGGAACATTCGCTTGGGAATATACACAACAGAGCAGAATCATGGGTAGAAAAGGCCCAATCAGCTACAGGACTCTGGCAAAATGTGTTCAGTTTTCATAATTTCTTCCTGTACATAAACTGCACCAGCTAATACTTCTGCATAAGAAACTGTGAAACTATTGGTTGTGATCACATACTTATGCAGGTTGTAAGCACCTGCTTTTGTACATTCTGTTCACAATCACAATTCAAAAATTCAGCACTGACAATGGCTCAACATCCTATTTGTGTGCGCTGTCTAACTATTCATTGTTGATGTGAACAGTACAGAAAAATCTTTTATCTCCCATACATGTATCCCACCGTCTGCTACAAACACATGGAACCTGGCTTGGCACTAAACATCACCAGGCAGCCAGCATTAGTGAACTTTCTGATGCCCCGTCCCCCCCAACCCCCTACTTCCCTCCTTTCTCAAGTTACACCAACACCACCGCATTGAAACAGCCCTCACCCTAAAGAGGCATGCAGCGGCAATCAGCAGACATGTGTACACTTCAAGGGTGTGCAGAGGTCCCCCCACAGCCTTGACGCATGACAGCAAAATAAATGGAAATTAGTGCATACATGGATGCAGCAAAACTTCCAATCAAGCAGAGACGGTTATGAAGAACCTGCTGGACAGCAGGAACATGCAAAAAATGTGCTACCATGCAACATCGCACTGAACAGCCATGGCAAAAGGGCACTCAGGTGCAGCAAATAGAATTGCCTTATTGCCAGTTTAAGTGCTACATGCTCTCTGTTACCATACTCCAAAGTTTTTAAATTAGACAAGTGTGTTGCACCAAAAAACAATCCAACATTTCGAACACAGGGTTGAGCTGCACATTCTCGACCTTCTTCAAATGAAAGTTGTATTCCTTCTCAACATGCATAGCACTAAATTTCATGTGAGGCACCATCCTGGCATGTGCAGCATCACCTCATGCTGCATGTTCTTGCGAATCCAATCGTGGATATGGCTGATCTTCAGAGCAACATGATGCCCTGGCAACCCAGATGCGTTGCTTGAAACGACGAGAGCTACGGTTAGGTCCAGTGCGACATTGTCTTCACTGTCAACTACAAGCACAGGTCCCCCTAGGCATACTTCAATACATATCATCATATTAGTCAGTGACATTTGATGAATAACAAAAGCTGGTGGCATGCCAAAAGAGAGAAATCAACTTAATCGCAGTGGCGCACAATGTGCAAACATTATGCTAATGAATCTAACTGTACAAGATACTCGCCACCCCAACAGGTAGCCAAGTCAGCTGTTGAGATTAATGCACTGTGATCAATGGCACCATTGCTGTCCATCGCCCAACGACATGCCTACCACAGAGAGAGCATACCAAAGCACATCACAAAGAAGAAAGATAGCTCAAAATCGTGGCCGCAGTTTGGCATTTCATTGGTGTGGTTGGTCTGTCACTGGCGGAGGGCAGGCTCTGGATGTGCATTTAATAGTGCTGTGTTGTGAGTCACTTTTGCCCAATACTGTGTCACACACAAAGTGACTTGTATTGATGCACCCACAATCATTGATGCACAGTTCTCAACAATCACACACGATCCGAACCTGTCAACTGCACAAGCCAACTATGAAGAGCTGAGGCCCAAGCACAAGGGCAAAGCTTGCAGTGGCATTGATTGATGGAACAAGCAGTATACAATATGTTCACAGTACTATTGCCTTGCCCGGACTGGAGCCTTCTTACCTGTGGCCGGGTGTGCCTCCTTTGGGGACAGGCAAACAGTGCCCTCACATAATTCCCTAGAAAGTAGGCAGTCATCAGCTGCCTGGACTTGATACCTTGCAAGAGAGGGAGCGTTTGCATTGGGTGCACAAATTGCACAACTAACACTGGAAACACGTAGCATCTCGTAGTCAGACACAGCCATCACTGGCACTGGATGTGGGATCTGCGTGAAGAGCTTCATCAGTGCAACATTGTGCACATCGTTGGCTCCTGTCCAGGCTGGGTGATAATGCGTGGATGCGACATTCATTTCCTGGTCACAAACGGTGCAGCAAAATGCTCACTGCTCCCTGCAACCCAACTGCTCCTCATGGGACAACTGCCCAATAGGAAGGTTGCGCAACTGTAGAACTGCTTTGATGCTTGCTTCCAAACCAGGGGCAACAGCAATGATACCTTCTAGGGATGGTACCCGGGCTGGCAAAACCGGACCCGGGTACCCGGTGTTTCGAGAACTTGGGTACCCGGGTGTACCCGGGTAACCCGGGTACACCCAATACCCGGGTACCCGCGAAAAACTGGGTACCCGGGTACAACCAGTACCCGGGTCCGGGTATGTACCCGGGTACGGAAAGGCGCTCCCTGCGCCGACGCAGCGCTGGCTGGCCGCGCTCCGCCGCGCTTGGCCGGCTGTTGTCTAATGAAGTCCGCGACGACGACGGCGCCCCCTCCCCTGACGTTGTCTTCCACGAGCCGTGCGTTTTTCTGGCACAATCAGGAAAGGGCTGGACGCCTTTTGGTCAACGATCGCGTTGGCGATCCAGCAAGAACAACCACCACAATAACGACAATGAAACTATGCAGCTGTAAGACATCAACGACAACAACGCCCAAAAGCAATCACCGATCCATCTAGTCCAAGTTGCTGGGCATGTCCTGCGCGCACCAACCGTTTCGCATTGAAACGGACGACCTGCAATCCCCAACTAGGGTAGCTCGGGCGCCAGGGATGCAACACAGCCGGTATCCTAGGGACCAACCCGTCGGAGCCCAGCCGCATTTTCTGCAGACAGCTAGTTGCCGCAGGTGTGTAGAGATGTTCCAACCCGTCAGATACCCCGAATCCGGATCGCCGGCGCCACAGGATCGACGAAGCAGCGCCATGTCGATGTTCCAACCCGTCAGATCCCCCGATTCTGGCTCGCCGGCGCCCCTAGATCACCAAACGCGCGGCCCAAACAAGAGTGTGTGGAGAGCATCGGCGCCGTGCACGATCGCGACGCAGCCACACAGTGTGGACGGGGGCGACCTTCGGAAGCCAGCGCGGTGCGAAGCTATGCACCGGGCGACCGCTGGCCAAAAGTGCTGTACCCGGGTCCGTACCCGGACCCGGGTACTGGCAGTACCCGGGTAATCCGGGTACCCGCCGGTACCCGCCTGTACCCGGGTACGTACCCGTACCCGCCTACCCGGGTACAAGGGTTGGCGGGTACCCGGGTAGGCGGGTACTGGAAAAATCAATACCCGCCCCGGGTACCCGGGTTTCCTGTACCCGGGTACCATCCCTAATACCTTCTGCTCAAGAAAAGATGAAACCAATAAACACTGCAACCAGAACCAGTGGAGTCATATGGAGTCAAATGGATTCACACACAATGCGGTGTTGTTAAACATGGGAAAAGATGTTTGGGCAAAAGACCTGCCATGCTCCAATTCTGTTTGTGTTGTGCATAGCCAGTCTTCTATGTATTGAGACACAATATTCCGTGTTCTGATCCCATCACTGCCCTTCAATAGCCAGCTGAAAACTAAGTGTACTGTCCACTGCAACAGCTACAATTCTGCAAACAGTAGGATAGCACTCCACAAATATGTCCAGCATGTACGTATGCTATCGTGCTGCCAATCTTGCGCAAATACCAGCAACATGAATACCACTATCACACAATATCACTTAGCGGTTGCTGCATTCCCCACAGCAAATGTGAGAGTCCCCCATCCATGCTGTCCAGCTTCACCTGATTCAACTGTCCCTCGTTGTCTGCAACACGGACAATGGGATTTTGTCCAAGGTCCTTGAGGCATTCAGCAGTTGTGAGAACAGTTCTCTGACTTATAATTGTCCCAGCACACATGCTTCCATCGAAACCGCTTTGTATGGTCACGATCGGTACATGACGTTGAGTGGGGATTACCTGCCCTTGCAATGGCTGCATTCCATCAACAGACATTGGTCAATCATGGCTATCAGTGGCCATGTCAGCTAGCTTGCAGGCTGTGCTTTGCTACCTAATTGCAACGTGCTGATTTCACCAGCAACAAGGCAAAGCGAAAGTTGTACCATCAGCCATTATGTCTCCTTGCAAAATTTGCAGGAATGCAGCAACATAGTACACTGTGATAGATGATAAAGATATCTCCAACTTGGGGGCATACGCATCCACTGCAACATACCAAGCTGATGTTGAAAGCAGGTTGAGGAAATACTACACCAGCACATCATGCACAGCAAAGAAGAATTGATAGTGAGTTTGGCTGTTGGCAATCTATTGTGGTCAGTGGCATAGCACAGTGCCACTGTTGTGCAATGGGGGCCCCAAAATCAAGAATCTTCTGCAAGCAATCTCCCACCACCACTGTCAGCAATGCACTGTACGATGGCAACATGGCAGATATTGGGGCTTTGGGTGAGCTATTTGGAAGTGCATTGATAAAGTCCCTGGGAGGCTCTGCCAGTCTCCCACCTTGGCGAATGCACAAACCTCTGAATCCCAGCGACTGAAGTTCAGCAAGCACAAGCATGCTGCAATCACGCTGACCCTAACTGCTAGGGTACTGGACATCCACATCGTGGCCTGCACCAACACAGTACATCCTGTCATCACAGCTTCCACTACAATGGTGATTTCTTTTCTGCAACAGCTACCAGGCGTATTGGATCCAAATTTGCACAACTGTTGTCCAACAGCCAAGCCCATTCGTATCTGGAAATCCAGACAAGACACTCATGCACACATCCTGCACATGAAGCTTCTTGTGGCCAATATATATAGTAAAACATCACCAGCAGCTGCACACAGGGTCACATCTAGGCAGCTGGCACCAGGATGAGGAACAGGCAGCCCAGGTATCCCAAGGGCAGAAACATCTCCCCTCCTCTTCTCACAGAGCCCCCCCCCTCCCTTCCCCCTTCCCTCTTCCCTTATCCTCTCTTTGTGCATGTTTTCATGCTCTTCCTGTTGATTGCATTGTGTGCCCCTCTTCTTGCCCCGGAGGCTCTACATCACTTTTCAACAGGAAAAGGGTCTCGGACAAATCAGAGACTCTTCTTGCATCACAGATTCTGAGACTCCGAGCATCACCTTTCAACGGGAAAAGCGTCTCACACAGAAGGCGGTGTCGTTTGCGTGACCTGTTTCTCTTTGGGAGTGTAGCAAAACTGGCCCGTGCGGCCAAGGCACAGCGCCTCACCCGCTCTCGCCCTCAAGCGCTGTGCAGAATTGAACTTTCACAGCGGGGCCGCCGTGCCGGCGACCCCGCCTGCTCCGGAACTTCCTATCCCTTCCCCCGAGTGAGCACTTGGCGCCAAGAGCCACGGCAGAGGTCGCAACTCCGAAATGCGATGGAAGTCGAGGAAGCAGTTGGAAGCGGATGTCGGTGGGTCTCTCCAAGGTTTCCTTACGGCGGCGCGTCCGCTCGTCCCGCGCCTCTGCTGTCAGCACACTTTGTGCCTTGTGTCCCTCCCCTTCAGAGCACCCCTCCGGTCAACTAGGCGTGGAAGAGGCCAAGGAAGTGGAATCGAAGGTGCTTGCCTCAACACAACATTTGTCAATGGACGTGACAGCCCACCCCAAACGTCGTGATACCTCGCCTTGTCAATTCCGCACGGAGGGCACCGGGCAAGCGATCGGAGACCTCTAGGGCTGGACAGGGTGCGGCAATGCTGTGGACGAGCGGTCCCAAAAAGGCGGTTGCCCTTCCTGGCACCCACTGCACCTGAGTGGCAAACCTCGAAGTGGATTTCGACACAAGGACTCCGCTTCTTGAGTGCCCTGCGCAAGTTGAGCGGCTGTCCAACGGGCCTGAAGCGTCGCGCTCCCCACCACGGACCCAAGACGCCACCGCTTCACTTATTTCACTTGCTGTGTGGCACACTGCTGAGGCCGGTGTTAACCATCCAACCAGTTCGCAAGCTCGATTTACAGCATAACGACCTGCATTTTGTGCAGTTGACTTCCTCATCCGAGGTAATCGCCTTCTCCACAAGCCGTTGCCAATGCAGGGATGTGGCGAGTATGCGCCCAAGCAGCAATATTGATTGGATGCTTTTTGCTTTTGGGGTATTCCAAAAACTCTTGCATGTGGGAATATGTGAATTGCGCACCTGTGGATATCGCACAGTAAGCTGCATTAGTTCCTACGAGAGATAGAAGATAGACAAAGAAAATAAAATTATAAACACGGCAAAGGAATTCTTGTAACAAGGCACCCTATTTGCTGGGAAAACGTTGTTAAACGTAGGCAGATTCTGATCGTTGTTTATGTACTTCCTCCGTCCGGAATTAAATGAAACAGTTCGTTGACTGGCCACATTTGTATCATAGACTTCGTCTTTTTCTTTAGAAATTGGACCAAAGCACGCAACCTGTGTTTAGCCAATGCTGTCAAAAATTCATTAGCAGAAAATAAGATTCATGCACGGGGTAGTACTTTGAAGCCACGCGATTCGGGCCTCATATTTGAACATTCGATGAGCCAACCAAACACGGCCCCCTGGATCCAGCGAGACCCCACGCACGAGTGATACCCCTTTTGGTGGTCGCAGTATTAGAAGGGTAAGGTTCCCTCGTTGCTTGGGCTCTAACCCAGAGATCGACACCCTTCACGAAGGAAGATCGGCAGAACTAGCGGCTAGGTCTGCCCATCGCCATCCGTGTTCGCGGGCAATCCGCGCCAGTCTCCATGGTGGCGCACCAGCATGGCTGGGATTGGCTGTTCCCAATAGGTCTCCTGTGTCCTCAGACTAGCTGCACAATAGTTATGTGCATCAAAAGCTCTTTGCTTGGCACTGATCTCCAAGTGATGGCTTGCCCAGCATAGGGAGCACCACCACTCAAGCGGGCATCAGCCCGATCAAACACGAGGAAGGAGGGTGTGGATGCTCAATCGGAGGCCCCAAGTGTCTCTTTGGTAGTGCTCTTGCGTTTTTCGATGTTGCCCACAAGAATCTGGCATGGCGGCAGCCTTCAAGATGGCGTAAACGGTGCTTGCGGCATGTGCACAACACAGGCATGTCTGACAATCTGTTGACTACCACGCAGCGAGGTGACGATCAGATTGTTCCAAACTCTTTGTGGTCATATTAGCGCCTACAGCGACCATACCCATGGGGCCGGCTCGTTTTCAAAACCCCGTGATTGTGATGTTCGCCGATTTCCGCATCTCCGATCCGGAGCTGAAATCTTCGCTGGCTCGTCAAAACCACGGTCGCAATCGACGATCGATCTGTGCGGAACTCAGTTCCACGGTCTCTTCTGTTTGGTTGGAACGTCTCCAACGTGCGGCCATGACGGCGGCTGCAGATATCCACTTTGCGCTGTGCACCGTCAGTCACAAGGCTACCTCGTCAAATGTACCGCACCAACCGGTACCCGGGGGTATCGACAACCCACTACGATAACCAGCCCAAGACGGCTACGGCTATGATAGTGTAGGGGTTAGAGTTGCTATACCGGAACTAGGGCGGTGGCCACCGGTACCTGGGGTACCCCCAGGTACCGGCGCTCGGGTGTGACCCCAAGTACGTAGCACTTGGGGTCCGGTGCTGGGTCCTGGCTTAATGGCCTTCGAGCGCCCGTACTGGTAGGCTTCTCTCACCCCCTGTTGCGCGCTGCCGCGCAACATTTGGTTTCGGAGCCGGGTTCCCGCGAACCCGGCGACTTTTTTCAGCCCCACCCCCCCCTCGCGGTGCGGCCCCTCCCCCTCTGTTGCTGGGCCGCGCCACCTCCCTTCGATCGACGGCTTCGCCGAATCCCGGCCATTTTTCGGCCACCCCATCGCCATGTCCGAGGAGGCGACTTCCGGCCAGCACATCGGCGGCGACGGGGACGAGCGGCCGCTTCCGGCCGTTTTTGCGGCACAGCCGGGTGGCGTGGTCTCTACGCAGCCGATCGCCATGCCCCTCCAGGCCCATTCGGCTGAGGGGGGCACAATTTTTGAATCGGCTGGGGGGGACATGCCCCCCACCTCCTCCCACCATCGGGCGAGTACACCCCCGCCGGTGCGCCCGATCGTTGGGGCGCCCGATGCCTTGTCTTGCAGCAGCCTAAACCGGCCTCCTCGCCCCGCTGCTTTGGGGCCGCCTGCTCTACCTGATGCCCGTGCCTTGGCTGGTCAGCTCCTTCCCTTTTTGGAGGAGCATCTCTGCCACCTGTTGGCGGGAATGGGCCCCTCCAGCAGCCCTCCCCCCTTGCCGCATTCTAGCTCGATCGCGGCCACCACCCCCTAGCCTCGATGCCCCTGTTTTCGGCGGCTGTGGCGGGTTCCATCTCGGGGCCGTGGGCTGCAATTCCAGCCACCGTAATGGCTTCTGTGACGGCCGTCCCTATGACCCCCCCGCCTTGGGCTTGGCGGCACCTTCCGGCCTTGGGGATCCGATGGGTTCCCAGTTGGGCTCTCTGCTGCTTCCTGGTTCGGGATCCCGGAGAGAGGCTTTGGCTGTGCCTCCCCTCTCTACTATGCTGCAGGTGGCTCCGCCCTCTCTCGGATCGGCTTCCACCGACGAGCTCTCTCGTCAGGTGGTGTTCCTTCAGGGCCAGTTGTCTGCCCTGGAGGCCTACCCTCGCGGGTCCGCTGCTGGTGCCTCCGGCTCCCCTCCTCTGCCTCGGGGGGTCCCTTCGTTGCCGACATTCTCTGGCGATCCCAAGGGCGATCGGTGGGACCAATTCCTGGTCCACTTCGAAGCCCACTGCCGCCTCTGCCACCAAGACCACGATGACGCCTACCGCATCAACCTCCTCCCAGTCCTCCTCAAGGGGACCGCGGCGGCTCACTGGCGCCTACGCTTGCAGGCGAATCCCGCCCCCACTACCTGGGAGGAAGCCCAGGCTGTGATGCGGTGCGGCCCCTTCGCGCGCCCCCCCACCTTGCTGGGTCACTCACTCCAGATCCCACACACTCCAGACAACCCCTAGACAACCCCCAGACAACCCCAACTGATACGAAAAGTCTGTGGGTGTGGGGTTCCTGCCCTCTTTGAGCCGCGGACCCACCTCGCCGGGCACCTAGGTCCTTACAGGGCACCTAGGCGGGACCACCCCTCCTACTCCCATATCCATATAAGTATAATGGTTACCGTGGGACAAGGAATACAATACGATCTTGGGCAGGGCGTCCCCCACACCAAGGACCATTAGTAGAGCGTCCCCCACATCAGGCCGGTGCGCGTAACATTCGTCCCCCTCAGGGAGAGGGGCGTCCTCGTCCCAATATGTGGATATGGGAGCAGAAACCTTATGTGTATATGAATAGAACTAGCTGTGCGATTTGCCACATGCCCAGTTGGTATACACTACACAGTTAGTGGTGAAGAGAAAGAGTGGTTGTTTTTACATGACCTCCCGGTCTTCACAACCCTCATTAAAACTCTTCCTCAGCCAAATGGCTGGAATGTTCGACCTCCCGGCCTATGATCTACGACCCCTATAGTGGGAACCACCAAACGCCCATGCAGGGGTGCGCCGGCCCGGTGCGGGACCTCGTCCTCGCCCGCGGCCACGCACACGCACAGCTCCACGAGGTGCCGGCACGAGCGGGTCGTCCAGATCCAACCTTTCTCCATTCAAGATCG